GGCTCCGGGAACATAGGCATAACCTAAAAGAAGGTCTTCTAGAAAAATCTAAACTAGCCCAACATGCCTATGAAGAGGGACATAGGGTAGGCTGGGATGAAGCTAAGATTTTGGATATTGAAAGCCACATCAGGTATAGGAAATACAAGGAAGCGGCCCATATGGCATGCTCGGCCAACCCAATTAGCCAACCCAGTTTGGACTTTTCTCCCATTTGGATCCCCATTATCAGCGATGAAGTCACCAATTCACAAAGAAGATCTGTATGACGTGATATATGCTTTTATTTATTTCTATTAGTTCTAAATTAGATAGACGTGATTTACTCCACTGTTGACGCTAGTTAGACACTATTAGTTTTTGTTACTAGTTCTTCTTTTCTATTCCATGCCGTGGGGTCATGGACCTGGTTATGAGTTTAGTTTCGTGGCATAAATTTCTACAGATCTATCTATCCTGGTTCCACGCTTGTAAGTGTTTGCTACAATTTGTTATAATATTTTTCTTATTAGCTCTCATGGACTTAGCCTGGTCTCAGGTATTTATAATCTTCATGTTTTGTGACACTGGTTTGTCCAGTGATTGAGGCTAGCTCTTTCTAACAGAACCAACTGAATAGGGTTTTCCTTCACCTGAGGATGGAAACAGATCCAGTTTCCGAAACGTCGTGTTTTTATTTGTTATCTTAAATACCAGGATGATGGATAAAGTCCAAAAACCTAACATATCAGTATGTTAGTGTCATTAAATTCTGGAAAGTATCATAAAGGACTCAGTTTAAAACAAGGATACAGTATTAAGGACATGGACACTAGGAATTGGGGTTCGATATATCGACCAACCACTCCAGGATTGCATTCTTCATTCATATAGTTACACATTTTCAGCACCATGAGTTATACAGCATCAATGAAAGCATAAGAATGCAAATGATGAGTCAGGAAATACTCCTACATGGAAGTGGTGACTCATTCTAAGGTATAATCCCAGCATCTGAATGGAGGAACTGAAGGAAACTGTAACAACACTGGGCCTTTGCACCAGAATTATAGTAGTGAAAGCAACAGTCATGTCAACAAAACCATGAATATTGATGGTGTCTTTTTAAATATGTTTATAAACTGTTAATTGATTTGCTTTCTGCTGATGATTTTCCTTACTTATATGCTGTCACATTCCTCCAAATCACCACTGACAATAACTTCAGGCTCCACAAAGCATTGTTAGCCATGCTGATTCAAAGACCATTTTATAAGCATACCTTTATTATTTTATAAAAAGTTGATAGGCTTATACAACCATCATGCCCATGCATTTGTCTGTTCACCTCACTCTATGTAGTCTGGCAATAAATTTCCCACACTGATGCCACAGCATTCGCATTAGGTGGTGAAAGGAGCTACAGCCAAATACTAAGTGTAGTCCTATGAGGAATAATCAGTAAATTGGTCACAAATTGATACAAAACATAAAAACATGTGATATAAAACATGGGGAAAACATTTGCTACTCGGCATATCCTCCACCAACATTGATGCACTTGTCCCATTGCTTTACCATTTCATCAAGAACTACAGCATAAAAGTATATTTTTACTGTTGTCTCAGCTACTTCCGTAGCTGGTTGGGAGACATCTGCGACTTTCAAATATCCTTCAGACAATTTCTCGACCCAGTTGCGAACCATTTCACTTGAAGAACACATCCTACTATAAACGGGAAATATTTCTTTATGAATATTCTCTGCTTCAAGTCCTTTTGCCAGCAAGAATGCGCACAACAGAACACTGCTCTTTGGTAGTACCGCCCTCAAGAACGAGTCACCATTTGACTACTGAAACCAGCTTCTGAACATGTACATGCATGTCTGCTACATAGACTGTCATGTACCTGGACTGTGCTGCTACTTAGTGATACAAATTGGAAACCTACTACATCCATTTCACCCGTTTCATTTCCATTTCTGACCTATTTATTGACTCTCCCTCATATCTATACCAACAATTAGCAGTGGTCAGAAAATCCAATCACTGACAGTTCACGAGCAGCAGCTCAGTTAGTTGGTTGTATTTTAACTGCTGTCACTTTTTAGCCATGATGCAATGAATGAATACCAAATTTTGTATATTAACTGGATAAAACACCAAAAGAAACTTACAACATGCTGCAAACTGTCTAGGGTGATGAAGTTATAAGTCATAACAGTGTATTTCAATGATTTAAACAATTCAAAGATGGGCATGACGATCTTCAGTATGATCCAAGAAACGGGTGTCCTTTGACTGCTCGAAATGCAGACAGAATAGCAGTTGTCTTTGAAATGATAATACAAGATCATCGATGGGCTCTCAGAATGATGGCGAATGAATTAAACACAAATAAGAAGACCATTCATCTGGTCCTCCATGAATATTTACAGAAAAGGAAAATATGCCGAAAGTTCATGCCACACTGAAGAGCAGAAACCGTGGAGATTCACATCACATCAAGACTTCATATAGATTTGTCAAGATAACCCAATTGGCTGCATTTCTGTTGTTTGTTTATTTATTTACTTAATATCCATGGATACATGATTTTATGCCCACTCAGTCTTTAACTGAAATGAGTACCAGGAATCTACCTGGGGTTAAAGGGAGCCTGGCACATAAGGTTGACAAACTCACCGCCCTCTGTGAGTTTACTGCCTACAAAATGTAGGAGCTTCAACATTTTACAAAAGTAAGGGCCTCCATGGCCTGGTACAGAGATAGCTTTAGCAGAAAACTACCATCTAAGGAAAGAGGTTTCACGATGCTGTGGAACGACCAAACTGAACACTGTTCGTTTGAAAGCCTCTTGACAATCTTTTCAAAAACTTTCTAAACATTTTGACACATGTATTCAAGTGGGGGGTGATTACTTTCAATAGAAGTGAAACAACTTTTTATTTCCTTGTATTCTTTATTCATCTTTTAACATCAGTCTGTGAATTTCATTGCCAGAACCTGTATTTGATGCAGTATATACACAGATTACATCGAAGCTTGAGATCAACACTATGCCCATGGAACCCACCCTACATCAATACTTCTAATTTCATACCAGTTCCATGCTGCAAACTTCTTTGAGAATATAACACACTAAGCTAGTCAAATCAAATGTTCATTACTATGCTCTTAAGATCCCACTCTGGGATATTATCCCAAGCCATATCTAAATTTTATGAGAACAGTTTCTTGATGTAATTGTGCATAAGAATCCTCAGTTATTTCAAGGATCAATCATTCCCCTACATATTCATCAAATAAGAATTTCACTGTTCTATGGAAATCAACAATTTATATAATTATGAATTTATAATTTCACCAGCCTGTGCAAAAGAGATGACAGCATTTAACAGACACCAGGTACGAAAGTTATACCTATCACAAATCTTCCTCATACCCGTAAATTCCACAAGTATGAGAGACACTAATTTACTGCACACCACCTGCATGATCACAAGAATATTGTATCATGTGCCTCTTGAATTTCAATGGGCTTTTCCACTAGTACATACATGTACAATATCCCTCTGATGGAAAAGAAGACACAATATCTGGAAACAACTCAGATGAGGGTATCTGGATCTGAGAGATGCTGCAAACTAATGGATATAATGAAACAAAGATAGATGAAAGTGGCAGGATATGTATGAGTAGAACACAAAAGAAAATAATAAATACATATATAGTGTCACGTGTTGGGTATGTCACGCGACAAATAACTTCATGCTGTCTTGGATCTAGTGAATTTACTCCACTCACGCTTACATTTACACAATTTACAATCTCACAACTACTGCCATTGGCAGTATCACAGTTACTTCCACTGCTCTCGGCGACTTCACGATCCACACTGTGTCACTCCTAATCACACACTGCTCAGCCGGCTATTTATACTGTTCCCTGTTGCCTTGTGTTAACAGCAGTGTCCCATTACGTCATAGTGGGAAGTGCTGTTACATCAGCGCGGGGGGGGGGAAGTGTTTACTGGCCTGTTACTGTAGCAGCGACAGTGGCTCCGATGCTGTTATGTCACTACCTGTTGGGGGGTGAGGGTGGGGGGTGTCAGTGCAAATACATCACAATGTCTTAGGTCTCACGTGAAACCTATGCATGGATGGTCTTATAGTTCAGGATAGAGTTCAAGGGCAGCCTTTATGAAGATTCTGACAAGCCTTCAGTTCCATAACAGAGAATTTCTTGACCAAACTGAATAACCATCACCTAGTCCAGAAGATACTGTGCCATCAATCACTGCGGTATGGAACTGAGAGTTCAAGGATAAGACAAATCAGTGCAGGAAACATGGAACTGGTAAATATGTATATCTCGTGTTTGGTAAAATTCTTTTTTCATGGTAATGCAAAAGAAAAAGAAGTTTGTGATATGACAAAATTTAATTTCAGAAACTAATCTCTTACAAAAATCTTATCTGGAACTGTGCTATATTTTATTCATGACTGCTTAAGAAACAAACCAAAAGCTGTCTTCCTTGCATGTTGTTCTTGAAGTCATATTTCGACATTATTAGACTCTGTTTCACCCATACAGTCATCAGCTCCAACAGGCATGTCTTCATGAGAAACAACTGGAGTAAAACTGACTTCAGTATTATGAGTAAGCTGTCCATCCCTTGTTGGTGTCTTCCTACGACGATCTCTGTCTGGTGACATATCCTCCCTCACAGCATGAGTCTCAAGTGACTGTAAATAGAAGATGCACATAAATCACTGTTGGTTGCCACATTAACTCTTGACAGAAATTAACATTTCCAAAATGCGCTGCACAACGATAATACATTTCTGAAGAACGTTTTTAAATTTATTATAAAAACTGAATTCATGATACAAGATGGACATAAAACATCACCATAACTAAATCTGGAAAGTTCTGAACGTGTTCAAGACTGTCCGTTCTTCTAGAACAAAACTGTCCTCACCTCACACTGAATTCATGAAAAAGCTGTACATTTCATATGGGACCTTTCTTTCATGCAAGACATCATCCATGTATTGAAGTCCTCTTGGCCAATCAGCCGTGTGAAGATGGAGCTAGTATACAATATTTTGGAGACAGAAACATATGCAAAACAATGGATACTATCTTCATTTTCATACAGATGAGTGAACAAGACTTAGTTGCCCTGCTGCTGTGAATGCTTCTAATAATATAAACTCTGTCTTTATTAATGTGCTTCTCTAGAGACAGAGGTTGGACATAAAAATATAAAGACAATATCTTCATTGAATATTACTTAATTAAGCATACAAAGACAAATGTGGAGTGCATGTATAGCTCCATGTATTCTTAACATCAGCAATGGCCAGCTTCACATTCTGGCCACTGATATTCACAATGAGTAAGATGTTGGGTAGCCCCACAGTTACTCTGAACATGATGACAAAGATAAAAATCCATGCACTTGTTGGGAATCAAACCCCAGTCATTCAACCTATATCCAGTCACTGTACTTACTGAGCTATCCCAGCTTCCCCATGAAACAGAAAACAATCACAGTGTTAATTCCATACAGTTAACCCTTTCATTGCCAATCTGACTCAACTCACCTGACTGGATACTTGTGATGCATTCTGTTTCTGTGTATGTTGGGAAGCCTGGCTACCAGGCACACCATAAAATTTGGGGTTGATGGTTATGGAATGTGTACAATTGTATGTTTTATAAATGCCCACCAGTCGGTCAGCCAGTTCAAACATATTGGAGCGAAGAGAGATGATTATAAACTGGGCATTCTTCGTTCTTTCCTGAGGAGAAAGTTAACAAATTGAATGGAATTGCACCACATTAAGCATTCTTTGTGGACTCTTACACTGTCCATGCAGTCACTTTCTTGATCTGTAAAATCTAAAACAGCATTACAGACCGCCAAATATACTTACAGTGGTGCAACATGTGATCATATGAAGCCTTTAGATTGCAGGTTCACACATCATACTATATTCAAGATGGATACAGAAGTATCAAAAATTTATGGGTAGTAATGTGAATTTAAAATAAACTAGAGCATGTTAAGTCGGGCTAACCTAACCTAAGATAAGTTAACCAAACTGGGAATTTACTGTGTGGGATAAAAACTGCTCTGGCATCTCTGAATAGAGGGTATAATGGAAGGGAACTATAAAGCAAGGAATATTAAGGATCTCAGAACACAATTTAAACTTTAACACCCTTCAGTATGCATATAATCATGAACAACCATACTGGAATAAGCCTTGACCTTTTCCAAAACTAAGGAATTTGTGACACACTTGCTCCTGTGACCAACTTCACCTCTTCTGCCTTCCTCCCCATCACATACCTTGATATAATGTCCCACAATAGAGACATTTTTGAAGTCAAGGGCAGCATCAATCTCATCCATCACGTACAGAGGTGTGGGTTTGTAATAGTGGAGAGCAAACACAAGGGCCAGTGAGGAGAGTGTCTTTTCCCCACCTGAGAGATTTGAGATGATCTTCCAAGTTTTCTTAGGTGGCCGGACACTGTATATTGATATACAACATAAGAGTACTGCAGCTATCAGTAATTCATAAGTGGTACATTTGATCACATACAATCCCTTGAATGAGGGGTGACTGGTTCGAACTGACCCAGTAATGGTTGATTTCCATTTCTCTAGCAAACAGCCTGAAAATTATGCATTATTACCACGTCTGTCCTTATCAACACATAAATTGCATAGACCCATGAAAGTATCACAATTTAGAAGTGAATGTGCTTAACAGTTCATTACTACAGGCTATAAACATTAAGCAAATGTGCCGTTCACACAGTCACCATGCTGTTATTTTCATTAAATTAATCACTTGAACACAAACTACATACTTGGCCATAAAACCAAAGCCAAAACCAATTATTTTTAGTTTACTGCAGAATCAAAAGAATCGATATTTCTTTAAATTCTTATGAATCAAAGTTCATCTTCTGGGGCTTTGGAAATTTTATCTGGAGATGTTTTTAGAAGTATGTGAATACTACTAACCATTTCACTGGGTATGACAGCACATTTCATATATATATTGTTACGTGTTGGGTGTGTAGGTATTCTGCGGACCGGATACAAGACAGCATTCACCAAGGTTCAATCTCACGTGTTCGGCAATCCGTTGCTTCGGGAACGCTCTTTATATGCTGGTGACGAGTTTCGTCTCATCCATTCTTACTCAACGGCCTTCTGTTGTTACGATCGGTTGCTGTGGGATCTCCACAATTTCTATTGTAGCTGTTGCACAGCGATGGACGTAACATAACGCATCACAATATATTGTGACGTGTTGCGCTATGGATGACGCCCCTCCCTCCCCGCCAGCCGTGACGTGCCGAGCTGACCCGAAGTGAGCCGAGTCCAAGCACAGCGGTTGCTAGGCAAAGCGAGTAAACAGCAGTGACGTAACACGGGACGCTGCAGTTGCTATGTAGCCGTACACAACTCCCGGCAGTGTTGCTAGGCTATTGGTAAATGATGACTAGGCAACAAGGAAGTGAGGCGTTTCCTGTTGTCTGGCTGAGGGTTTATAAGAGAACTACACTGCCTACAAAGTCAGTTAGTGTGTGATCAGGAGTGACACAGTTTAATGTGTAGCAGCCTACGAAGACAGTTAAAGGGTAGCCGTCCCCGGAGACAGTTAAAGTGTATCATCCGCCGAAGTGAGTTCTCAAGGCAGCAGCCTACAATACGAATTGGGTTCGAATCTAGCCAGCAGTGAGCAGTTACAAGTTAGCCAGCAGTAATTGCGAGACTGTAAATTGGTGTGATTGTAAGAGCGAGTGTGAAATAAAATTTGCTATACCCAATACAGTGTGAAGTTATTTGTCGCGTTATATGCCCAACACGTGACAATTTGGTGTCAGAATTGGTTTATAAACTTACACACGTGAAAACCACACAAGATAAGAAAATGTTCTCACAGCAGATGATGGAAATGCTGCTCAAGGAAATCAGAGCTGGCCAAGAATTCATGGCTAAATTAGACACTACCCAGGCGAAGGCAGTGGCGAAAATGGACGCCGACTCCAAAGCCTGGAGAGAAGAGATGGCTGCTGAAAGAGAAGACTTCCGAGCAGAAACGAGAGCCATCGAAGTAAGGATTGCCGCCATTCAAGAAATATTGGGCACCAGCCACATAGAGATGGTGTCCGCATTTAAAACCGCAATAGAGAAAGAGACTATGGCCTGTCAAGAGATGGAGGCACGTCTACAAGAAGAAAAGCCGGCCTCAGTGGACACAAAACCTGTGGCGGCACAACAAGAAGAGGTCCCCATTGCGATACCAGTCAGAGTGACAATGGCCTGCCGAGAAATGGAGGCATGTCCAGAAGAAAAAAAGCCGACCTCAGAGGACAGGAAACCTGAGGTGGCCCAACAACAAGAAGTCCCCAACGAAGATGCCGTAGTGAAACCGGTCAAAGGATAGAAGAAGCGGTATAGGGGCAAAATGCAAGCTGCAGGGCGACATGGAGAGCCACTGGAACTAACCCCAAGGAATTTGTGGATTCTGGATGAAGTTGGCCGCCGCCTGCAGGAAGGTGTCCCGCCGTGCAACAGTGGCATGGCACATGAGTAACATCTTCAAGAAATCTACGACCCAAGGAAATTGCGGACCGTGGCATGAATTGGCTGCCAACAGAAATATGACTAGTCGTGCAGGTGTGACACGGCGCAAGGGAGATCCTGGAAAGGAAGGAAGGGAATCGTGACAGGACAGACGTCCGGGAGGAGGCGTCAGCCGCAACCAAAATGCAGTGAGAGCATAAGGAACCAAGACGTAGAGGAACTGCTATGCCTGAGTGAGAAGATCGTCAGTGTGGTTTTCAGAGGAAAGTTCACGAAACAAGTAGTCAGTACTTCCAACGGGTTACGGAATATAAGAAAATGGACACTCTGGAGGGGTCGATCCCCTCCAGAAAGAAAAAAAGAAGAAGGCTGGTATAGGAGGAACCGGTAGCAGAAACACCGGCCTCCTTAGCTAGAGTGAAAGAGGAAAGAATGAAAGTGAAGGAGTGAATGTAATACAACTGGATCTTCTAGGCAAGTTAAAAGGAAACTGCTTGAGATGAGCTGGTCTTAAGAGGAGAGTGGTTGTAACGGCCGGATAATAGTCGCTGCGAGGAGTAGCTGAAACAAGAGGAGACCCACCAAGCACATCCTTGGAAGAAAAGGAACGGGGGTGCACCGTTACACTATTCAGGACGAACAGCCTTAAGGAGGGAGCAGTGTGACGTGTTGCGCTATGGATGACGCCCCTCCGTCCCTGCCAGCCGTGACGTGCTGAGCGGAGCTGAAATGAGCCGAGTCCAAGCTCAGCGGTTGCTAGGCAAAGCAAGTAAACAGCAGTGACGTAACACAGGACGCCGCAGTTGCTATGTAGCCGTACACAACTCCCGGCAGCATTGCTAGGCTATCGGTAAATGGCTAGGCAACAAGGAAGCGAGACGTTTCCTGTTGTCCGGCTGAGGGTTTATAAGAGAACTACACTGCCTACGAAGTCAGTTAGTGTGTGATCAGGAGTGACACAGTTTAATGTGTAGCAGCCTATGAAGACAGTTAAAGTGTAGCCATCCCCAGAGACAGTTAAAGTGTATCAGCCGCAGAAGTGAGTTCTCAAGGTAGCAGCCTATGATACAAGTTGGGTTGGAATATAGCCAGCAGTGAGCAGTTACAAGTTAGCCAGCAGTAGTTGTGATATTGTAAATTGGTGTGATTGTAAGAGGGAGTGTGAAATAAAATTCGCTATACCCAATACGGCATGAAGTTATTTGTCGCGTTATATACCCAACACGTAGCAATATATATACCAGACAATGAATAGAGTCCAAAATAAGCCTAATATTTCTGTACAGCATACACCATCATCAGAATCCTTTCAAGTCTATTTCCAATAACATAACAGTTATGATGTTCCATTACATACTGTGATATCAACAGTGTGTAACTAGGGGTATGATAAGCTAGAGCTGGAACTTCTACAAATGCAACCGTTGGGACTTCCTTGTCTAGATTGTAGCACTATGCAACACACTTAACTTAATACATTTCATCTATCCAATTTGTTTCCATAGCATTTGATCAGATTCGAGTTTACGTAAAATGACAGAGTAGTTTAAAAGAGTATGTCTGAAAATATGGGCACTTCTTCTTCTTTTATTTGGGGTCTAGGGGTGACTTCAATAGATCAAAATCTTGACACATGCATGTACAATATATTAGTGTACCATAGAATAATTATAAAATATTTTAAATATTGAAGATTTTGCATTGTGAAGTATTTAGAATTACACAGAAGAAGAAAATACAAGGTAGTTCAAATATGACCGGGACTGATTAAAAAAAAAACATAATTGCCAAACACTTACTTGCACATGTCAGTCTTCAACGTACTCCCCTCTGGTGTCAACACATTTTTTCCAACATTCTGGAAGCATCCTGGTGCCCCCCCCCCCCAAAAAAGACTTGTGGTTAGTGGCGTATCCACTCCCGAAACAGTCTGGATGACGGTGTCGTTGTCCACAAACCACATGCCTTGCAAGTCTGATTTGAGCCTTCTGAACAGGTAGAAATCAATTGGGGCCAAATCGGGACTGTACGGCGGATGTGTCAGAAGGTTCCATTTCAATTTCCGAAGGGTTTCCATTGTTGTTTTGGCCATATGAGGGCGTGCATTGTTTTGAAGGAAGGTTACCCGCTTTCCACCTGTCTTCCACTTGGATCGGATCTTTTCCTTCATGTCTGTTGCCAGGAGGTCTGAGTAATAAGCTGCATTGACTGTTCTGGCATCTGTCAGAAAGTCTACATGGATAACTCCCTGCCAGTCCCAGAAGAACGTTGCCATCACTTTTCCTGCTGAATGGCTCCTCTGTGCTCTCTTGGGTTTGGGAGAACTGGTATGCCGCCACTCGTGTGATGACTGCTGGGACTCCGGAATGAAGTAGGGCACCCACGTTTCATCGGTGGTCACTACAGACTTCCAAAATGCATCACCTTCATCTTCAAACTGCTGTAGGAGACGACTGGCAACTTGCATGTGCACCATTTTGTTCACGTCCATCAAAGTGTGTGGTACCCACCGTGCATTCACCTTGTGATAGTGCAGGTGGTATTTCATGATGTCTTCTACACTACCAACACTGATGGACAGCATTGCTCCAAGTTTCTTGATAGTGATGCGCATATTCTCACGAATAAGTGCGTCTGAACGGTCAATGTTTGGCTTGGTGACGGATGTTCGCGGCCAATGATCATGCAGTTCATTCTCCACGCGCTCTCTGCCCTCTCTGAAGCACTTACACCACTCAAACACACGGGTCCGTGAGAGACACTCTTCCCCATACTGTTGTTGGAGTCTGTGGTGAATTTCAGCACACGGGACGTTTTCTCAAACGAGGAATTTGATCACAATGCGTTGTTCCACGCTCCGCGGTATCTTCTGTACGTTCATCCCTCTAGCAACTCCCAGACAGCACTGATCAGGTTCTAATCCTAACAGGAGGGAGAGTGGAGGTTGTGGCTACAATCTCTCAAGGTCACACAGCTGCTGCGCAGTGCGGCTTGTTTACAAAAAAATCAGTCCCGGTCATATTTGAACCACCTAGCAGCATCCAGGGCAGGTTACACCTCAGCTGTAAAAACTCCTCAGGCAAGTGGGTATGATAACATTTTAGGAAAATACAAAATAATGTGATGACTATTTAAAACTTGTAAATGATGATGAAGGTTATATGATACGAGAAATGATTATACCAATGTGTTATAAATGCTACTAGATATATGAAAGGTACTCAAACTCATATAGACGACTGAGAAACCTAAAATCCACCACATAAACAGTAAGTGCTTTTAATATTTGTTCAGTCATCTGCCTGAAGACTGATTACAAATGCTATAGATGCATTTAACATACCAGAAATTGTGGAAGACAGATCTATAACACAAGCTGACCTGAAGTTGATTCCTTCACTGAAGGGATCTAATGAATCCACAAGCTCTAATTCTGCATCTCCACCTAGTGTGATCATCTGATACATCTCCTTCAGTTTGGATGTTATAGTGGAAAAGCCACGCATAAACTCAGTGAAACGATTCTTGCGCACCATATCAAAGTTCTTCCGCATCTCATTACGCCTCTCAGTGCTTATTTCCAGTTCGGATACTCGCTGGAGGTACAAATTCTCCTGCAGAGAATAAGAATGAAGTATACTGTATACCTTCAATAAAAAGGTAATTCTTCTATTTCTACACATTTGAGTGGTCAGCTGACTGACATTTCTCTGTCACTTCCTGCAAATGTCGAGCTAGTATCTTATAACCAGATGAATATGCATCTATGTGCATATGCATTTTCTAATTTTGTTTTACATGGGAAGCATATACCACCTGGTATTAGAACATTTATCACAAGCTGCTAGCTTTGATTATTTGGGAGAAGTAATGATACATTTTAAACTCTTCGGATTTTCCAGCTAAAAAATAAAAAAATTAAAAAGGTAAAGCTGTCCCTGTAACAGGCCATGAAGGCCCAAGGGGGTGTGACAGGCTGAGGCTTCCACATCTTCTAGACAATTGCCTCTCAGATCATTGTGAAGTTGTCAGCCCTACGAGCCTGCCTCCCTTTACCTCTCAGGAATCTTCTGGTACTCATTTCTGTTAGAGGCTGAGTCAACCCCAGGGATATAGTGCGACTGGAAGGATTAGGTAAATTATAAAAGTTTAATGACCTCATCAGGAATCATACCCACGACCTTCCGGCTTATAGCATACTGCCTCAACCAACTACGCTACTAGGTGTCCCCACCTCCAAAATGAAAAGAAATAAATTAATATTCACAGCTTGACAAAGAGGAATATTACTACCAGAAAACTGTTTCAAGTTCTCATCAAGCTGAAATTATGTGATTAACCTTTCAGTGCTGGGCGACGTACATCGCACGTTGGCATTTAAATACCACATCTCATTGGGCGATGTTGTCGTGCATCTTGTGCTGCTTTTCATGTAAAGTAATAATTTTGCTACGAAATTAAGGAGGAAATTTCTGTCTATCATTTCATATATTTATTATCCCACTTTGAATTTCGTGGGTTCCCCCCACCCCCATTTGAAGTCTCTGAAGAAGTTTTGTAGCTCGCCATCTAGGGTGCAGTATTGCTGTACATATCTGTCTCCACCTCTTGGAGTAGTTAAGAACTATATATGCTAGGTTTATAGTCTGTGATCTCCTTGCGTGTTGGTCGAAGCAAAGTCTGTGATCTCTCTGCGTGTTGGTCGAAGAAAAAATCGATTTCCATTCAGCCAGTGACGAGTGCTGCCTCTTGAATGGAATGAGAAATGTGCAGAAAACCTAACAAGAAAGATACGTGATATTGACCTCTGATATGATTGCTGTTGGATATGATAAACAAATGCCTTGTTTGCATTCCTTGAGGTTCCCTTTGTTCCACATAGCTAATGCAGTTTGCATGTAGCAGCCATGGCTGGGATAAGCAAGAGGCGTTCAGCTGTCTTGAGTGACGAGGACTTACAGCGTTTGCTTGAAAGTGATTCCGAACAAAGTCTGTCAGATTCGGATTTTGACACTGAAAACGAGTTAGATGATCGTGCCTTGATTGAAGCTGTTGGAAATGAGGGCAGCATTGAGTGTTTCCGCAACTACCATACACAGCTGAATTTTTAAGGTAATACGATACTATTGTTCATAATTTTTATATGCTTACTGGCCCAAAAATAATTTTATAGTAGTGTGGATCAATACTCTAATTCTATATACTTCTCTGGACGTTGTGTGAAAATCTGAAAAACAAAACTCCAGTATTTCCCCATTTATTACATTTTAAGTTAAGTACTGCATTCTCCGAATTAATTATTTAAATAGCCGCAGGCATTGGAGTGGAAAAACGATTGAACTGCCTCCGGCGCTGAGGGGTTAAGATGCAGACTGTGATAAACTTGATGATTTTATTAAATGAAATTGAAGGGAGAGACAAAACCTCAGCATCTGCCAGCGGCAAAAACTGTAAGAATCAAAAGGTTGAATTAGTCCACCACCTATTTCCCTCCTACACTTTAATAAAAGAAGTTACCCTACCACAGTTATTGTATTACCATAACCCAAGGAACAACTTACCAAATGATCTGACCACACAGAATATGAATATAACAAAGCTTCCATTTGATTTTCAGAAATATTAGAAATGTATCTTGCTGTGACATGGTCAGCCCTTGAATATGTCAAATTATGACAATGTCATGTCTTCAGAAGGCTTTGGACAACAAGGTTTCAGTGATTAGTGAGGAAATTTGTTTCAGTATATACATGGTTCTTCAGCATTCACAAAACCACAGTTTCCAAAACGTAGTGTTTTTCTTAGTTATCTTAAAACCAGGACGATGGATAAAGTCCGAAAACCCAATATCTCTGTGTGTTATACACCATCGTCAGAATCCTATAGTAACTAATTATACTGTAGTACCATACTGTCCAAGATAATGTTTATAATTACTCAGCTGACACACCACACATTTTCATGTACTGCATGTTTTGGTCTCATTTAATACATTCAGCCTCTACTGTCACCCTTCCATCCATCTGCTATACCTCACTACATTGGCCAGTGTTTACACACTGGGAGTGCGCTGTACAGGTTGTTTATGTAACACCTTTATGTTATGAAATGTATTAAACAGTGCTTGAGGTGGGGTGGGATGGCATCCCGGTTCTTTTCTAAATGGCTTAAAAGCATCCTGTTACTTCTTTGGCAGTAAATGCAATGTACAATACCCAGGGCTTGAGGTGGGGCAGGATGCGGCGGGATGGCATCCCGGTTCTATTTTCATTCCACCTCAAGTACTCGTATTAAATACTAAAATTTTAATATTTTTAAAATATTAAAATATTGTAATGTGTATGAGTGACTAAGACACGGGTTTGGATTGATAACTGTATTTACTGGATACTTACAGTTTGTAAGTACAATTAATTATTACACTATTGCTGTTTTACTCAATGTACAAACACTGCACGCTAATCTCTTCAGTCTATATGCACTAGCCTGCTGCCACTGCTACTACTCATGTCGGCTCAGGAATTCTGTTCACTTATACTATGGCTGAGGAACAGACAGCCACCAACAGTAAACACATGTCACTGGATCACTATCCACTGTTGTGACGTCACAGTGGGCATAGAAAACATGGCCCCCTCCATTGTTGTGTGACCTAGCAAAGGATGGTGTTTACAGAGCTGATGCTTGGCAATGCCTTGATCAAATCCACTACAATATTCCATTTGGAATTAAAATTAAGTTAGATGTTGTTTGTAAATGTGCGTTCTTGTTTAGCATGGGATTCTCCCCATGATCTGATAAGAGCAGATACAAGTAAGGATGATTGTAAAGGCTCGGTGTAACTAGTGACGGCCACAATAACCTGAAGCATGTAGTATTTGCAAACATATAGTGTGCCTCCAGGACACACACTCCAGTGTGTGTGTATACCAGGACTGTGTCAACTGAGAAGCAATAAATTCAGTACAAATAGTTTTACATCATTCAATGACTGCCACCTTTCTATACATGCAACATAATTTTGAAGAGAACAGATTTTGCACTACAGCTGCCTCACAGCACATGCTAGGGCATTCTAGCATTGACTACTAGTGCAATATTTAGACTTCAGTACCATATTCATTATACAGTATGCACCTGACACACCCAAGGCTAATTTCAGTATAAAAGAACAACTCTGCATAAGTTTTACAGCATTTTGATGGTACAAAGGAAGATGTACCTTACAGAAAACATTATGATGTAGTGACTAGTACAGCTTTATATTCGTGAGTTTCCGATTCACATCTTGTGCCAGATACCAGATATATTGAGTGATGAACTCCTACATCATAATGCTATTTGAAATATGTATGACTACTTCCTTTCCAATTCGTCTTCCTTAACCTTTATCAGCTGGGCCATTTAAATTCCGGTAATGGCTGCAGGCCGGAGTTAATTTAAATGCCCGTCATTGTAGAGTAATAAAAATTGTAATCATGTTACTCAAAATGCTGTGATTTCTACAATTTTTGTGATAAACGAACGAAATAAACGCTACTTTTATTTAGAAAGAATATAGAATCAGATATTGTAATTTACAGATTTTAGAATCTGTAAAAATTGTTACATTGATTCCAAAAAAAATTTTCCCCAATTTTGAGCGTCTGTTCACAAAAATGCATAAAGCTTCTGCACAAAACGTTTCTGCAGTATAAATGCATGCTGCTGACACACTGTCTATATTTTATCTTGCAAGAGGAGAGGAAGTTTATGTTTCTTATCCTACTTTGTCCTTATGAAACTCTGTCTGTTTATATGTCAGACTAAACACACAGAGGTACTGTTCTTGGAATATCACCTCAATGCCCCTTGCGTCCTCGTCCCTTCAGAATCGACTGTAGCGCATTCTGAATGGTGTGATTTACGAGCGGCCTCTCAATTTCGGCTTAACCTTTATGGGACGGGTCATTTAAATTCTGGTAGTGGCAGCGGGACGGAGTTAATTTAAATGCCCGTCATTGTAGTGTAATAAAAATTGTAATCATGTTACTCAAAATCCTGGGATTTCTACAATTTTTGTGATGAACGAAATAAACGCTACTTTTATCTAGAAAGTATACAGAATCAGATACTGTAATTTACATATTTTAGAATATGTAAAAATTGTTACATTGATTCCAAAAAAAATTTTTCCCCAATTTTGAGCGTCTGTCCACAAAAATGCATAAAGCTTCTGCACAATACATCTCTGCAGTATAAATGCATGGTGCTGATGCACTGTCTGTTTTTTATCTGGCAATAGGAGAAGATGTTTACGTACTGCACATTCTGCCGTCACTAGGCTTCCTCTATACCCGAGTGGCGGGGAGTTCTTATCCTACATTGCCTTATGAATCTCTGTTTGTTTATTCACGTATGTCGGACTATCCACACAGAGGTAGTTCTTGGAATATCACCTCATTCCGCTTGCTTCCAGGTCCCTTCAGAATAAACTGTAACACATTCTGAATGGTGTGATTTACGAGCGGCCTCTCAATTTCGATTTCGTCAATGCGAAAAGGGGCCATGGTGCATAGTTGAAATTGCAATGTTTTATAAGCGTTATGAATAGAGGACACCACTCGCCATCACTGGCTTACTTCCTGCTAATACAAGAATAAAATTGTGTGTACGTGCTTCGCGTCCGTTAATTACGGACAAAGTGCATGAATTGCGACGTCGGACTCTGCATTCAGTGACATGCAACATTCAGTCAGATGATGCAGGAGGGAAGACAGTCTACTTATAAAGCTGGTGTCCAAAAATAATGTAAGTAGAACAAGAATTTCTATCTTAAAATTAGATTTTAAAACACTGTGTGCACGCGCGGCCTGCGAGTCACCATACGGTGTCTTTCGGCCATCTCGACATAATTTAAAGGTCCCCATACGGTGTCTTTCAGCTCTTAAAGGTTAATCCATGCAAAATGGGGCCATGGTGCATAGTTGAAATTGCAATGTTTTATAAGCGTTACGAATAGAGGAGACCACTCGCCATCACTGGCCTACTTCCTGCTAATATGAGACTGGTGTTGCGCGTGTGCGCTTCGCGTGGAAAACAGAGTTACATACGGACAAAGTGCATGAATTGCAACGTTGGACTCTGCATTCGGTTACATGCAACATTCAGTTAGATGATGCAGGAGGGAAGACAGTCTACTTATAAAGCTGGTGTCCAAAAATAATGTAAGTAGAACAAGAATTTCTATCTTAAAATTAGATTTTAAAACACTGTGTGCGCACGCGTGGACTGCGCGTCACCATACGGTGTCGTTCGGCCACTCGGCTTTACTTTAAAGGTCCCCATACAGTGTCTTTCGGCTCATAAAGGTTAATCATGTCATTGGATTGTAGTCTTTGATATGATGTACTTAAAGCATGAGCAAAACAAAACTTCAGATTTCACTGACACTATTGATTACTGTCTTTCTTTAGATTATAATTAATAGTTCACTGTGAGTACAACAGTTCGTGTGATGTTACAAACATAATCACCTTCTCTTTGTATTCCCTGATGACTGCCAGGTTTGGGTGGCTGGCTCTCAACTTGTCCTCAAGTAAACTCACTTTGTACTGCAGCTCTTTAATGTCTAGTTGTTTCAGCTCTTCCTTTGTTAGCTGCTTTAGTTCCCCTACACACTCTTCACCAGGGATCTCCTGAAGATGCAATGCATTTAACTGCAAACAAAGTAAATTTGCATATATTCAGAGAATAGAGAAAAACAGAATCAAAGAAGGCTATATCAAGCTGAAAGACATCATCATCAAATAATTAGGAAGTTGAGTTATCTGTTGACCTGTTCTGCCATCAGTCTCTTCAACAGTCATCCTTAATTCCATGTTTTAATAGCACTCTACTGCATCACAAATTGGGGAGGTCCATCTGCACTGTCGATACGGAAATCATCATGCTTTCATAACCTAAAATACGTTGTGGAGATAGAGCCCCACCACATTCTGCTTACATTTGGAATTGAAATAATGACAAGAGTCAACATTGACTTAAGCAGACAACATAACAAGCATAACAACATACGTATATATATATTTTAATAATTTAATAACATTTTATACATTTAACAATCATTGTATGAATTAAATGTGAATTAATATTATTAATTTGTTGCATTATAGACTATAAAATAGACAAGGACTGACAATGATCCTAAATAATGTTACATAATCAATGCTACATGTGTAAATTTACATAAATCTAGAAACTCATTCCTTCTCAATGACAAATCAACAAAAGAAATACAACTACTCAGGGACCAACCAGATTGTTTTATAGATTGAAACCATTTCTCACCTGTTTTCTGAGTGCAGGTATCTTCATCTTATTCTCATGGATGTCTTTATTAATGCTGTCAATTTTCTGGTCAACCTCTAATTTCTCTGCTTTCAGTTTGTTTTCCTTCTTTTGGATTTCAGCAACCTCTTCTTTCAGGCTCTCCATATTTTCTTCCTCTGATACCACGGAGTCCTGCACAAGGATAATCACAAAGATATATAATTCCATTTTCAACATGTCTATACAAAAAGATAATGTTAACTAGACACATACATTTGCATACCCTTCAATACGATACAATGCATGGGCTCATGCATTCAGTATGACAATTATGTAAAATAATACTCAGGATTACCGGGTTTTTGGACTTTGTCCATCGTTCAGTATTTTAAAGAACACAACATTTGAGAAACTACTGTTTTTACTACTCTGTTTGTTAGAAAGAGCTAACCTCAATCCCTGGTCCAAAAACTCTGTAATCCCAAGTGATACACTATCATCAGAACCTTTTAGAATCTACACGAAATGTCATGGATTTGTTTTATTTACCACATATAAATACTAAATTTTGAATATGTGTAGGCTACAGTCAGTTCCTAAATGTAGTATTTCAAGACAGAATAAGTACTCTACATGAAATAACGAGCTTAAAGGTTTCCCCTATGATTAAGCACGAAGATGGGTATGGATACAAAGCTATAGACCTTAGTACTGGATGAAGGTGACAGGTCTGCTTCAAACTTCCCTTGCCTCATAGAACTCCAAGAAACAGCCCCCACTACACACTGGACAAGAGAGAGGCTGTTCTGGCAGGAGAAAAGTTCCTGTTTCTTTGTGTGACAAACCCAAGTGGTCATCAATGCGCTAGCCGAATTCTTCCTTTGTACATCACAAATATGACCATCAGTGTTGGTATATCTGCATGGAGTAAGGTACAGGGATCTTGGGGCCAAGAAATGAGTCCTGCTCATCTTATCTTTTGCACTGGAAAGAGAATTCTGCTTTGATAGTGATTGGAGCACCACTCGTGACTGATATATTACAATGCTACTAATAATATCTTAGCGAATTTCCTTTTTGTTTTCAAGCTATTTCACATTTGTATCTGTAATAGATTAAAAAATACACTAATTTATTACCACCTAAATCATTTATTATAGCCTCATATAACACTTTTACATGATTCTATGAATAAACAATGATTATTTCCAAAAACAACATTAACTGATTTTGAAATGGAGATAGTGTGTTTTCTGTGAGGTAGGGAATATCTTCTAAATATTCTTTAACTGAACTTCTGTTTTCAAAGAGTTATCCTTTCCTGGGAAAACAACAAAAGTAAGGTTCAAGACCTCAGAAAATGTTGTGAGTATGGTCTATTTAATAAAGTGAAAAGGAAGGGGGTGAGATAAAGCTGTCCCTGTGATAAATGAAGCAAACACCACACCATGAAGATGTACAGGCAAGAAGGGCTAGAGCTCCACAATTCTTGCCCTTGGCACTAGATGGAGGTAAGTGGTCAGCTTCATGCCCCAGCCACTTTATTCTTGGGGAAACTGCCCATTGTACCCACTGGATACGAGGCAGGATGTACCCCAGAGCCAACCTGGAAGCTACGGACAAGAGAAAAATCTTATCCTTGCCTGGAAACGAACCCCGACTGTGCAGTCCGTAGACCACCACTACACCAAATGAGCCATAAAGAACAAAATACTCTTCTTTCAAGGGAGAAAGTTCACTTTGAAATGAGTGAGGAATACTTCAAGAAATAGCACATGTTGTTCAGCAGCTTCTTCATGTCTATGTGGCTGATAAACATTCTTCGCAAAAGAAAGAAATAAGTTTGCAGAACTGTCTGGGCAGCAAGAAAGAATGGCTGAGTGAATTCAAAAAGCCTGGGGATTTGAAAATAACGGTCATAAAGACTGCAACGTACTCAGTTTAAGTGATGACACAATCTAACAAAACTCGCCAGAAGGTTAATATACACTGTCATTAGACGTACTAGGCTGCAATGTCAGAGATCAGAAACATAGGCATTTTGCCACTGGATGCTCTCTGAAAATGTGGAAGTATATTTTACATTTTTTCCGAATATGTTTGATTGCAAATAGTTCATTCTGATGATATGGAAAGTGGTCCATAACAAACATCACATTTCAGGGCACAAAGTAAGTGTTTTGACTATACCATTTCTTTTAAATCTTTCTTCACTGAGAAAATATATAAATGCACTTAAAAATAATGCCTAGAAGAATTATTATGCTTTGAAACTGTAATATGTAACACAAGAAAATTATGGGGTAAATCACATTTTCACCTGTTATAGAATGTAAGAATTAAAGGAAACATCACAGCACAGTTTATCTGAGAAGATANTTTCTTCTACCCTGAAGATGGAGGCGATACGTTCCTCCGAAACGTCGGTTAACACCACATATACACGGTGCCAAATCCCAAAAGACTGCTTTCTTCAAGATAAAATAGGTTTACAGGATGAGAATTAATTATACCTGGACCTTTAAAAACACACTTCAAGCATGATGCTGAAACTGACTGCCTGCAGGCAGGGGTAAGTACAAAAATATGTGTTAATTTACAAAAACCAGTGTGCACACACACATTGGTGGAAAAGAATAGCATGCTCTGAAGAAGTAACATGGAATAAACCACAAAAATTATGCAGGAAGATAGGATTTGAGGTTCTCACAGCAGCAGTTATCAAGAGCTGCTTGCTACCTGCATCACCCTGGTACCTTGTTTGGCTTATTCTTCAACCCTGATGATGGAGGTGACATGTTCCTCTCAAACAAGTGTTGACTTTCAATGGACTACATGGTGTTACATCCCAGAAGCCAGAAATCTTTATGCAGGAAGGGGTTAGCCTCATACCATGTGCATTTCAGCACTGTGGTTTCCTTTATATATTTCATGAAATTAAATCCTACCGAGATAGTCTTCAGTTCATCCAGTATAACCTTCCCATCTGACTCAATCTTCTCTTGTTCCTTCTGCATGTCCAACATCTTCTTCTCACAATCCGATATCTCTTGTATCATGTTTCCTATTTTCTCACTTGACTTCTCTGCATTCCTATAACAAAATCCATGTACAAATAAGCCTTACAAATACATTTACACGCACTCCTGAACAAGACTGAGAAGTATCAGCACAGCATCTGAGCACAGAAATCTCAGCAGAAAAAGCCAGACCCAGAAGTTGATCTGAATACAATAAAACTATATTAATTCAGACTGCATTCTTTTTATATGAGTACATACATATACATACATCTGAGTTGCTATCGGAAAGTTCCCGGACTATGTAAAAAAATAAATTCTGGCTTAAGTTACTCAATTCTCACTGCCATCTCCTTCAAAATAGTCTCCTTGGGAACATATACAATGATCCCATTATTTTCTCCATGCCTCAAAAGCTCTTTGGAAGTCATTTTTCTTAATGATGTTGAGTATCACTTGTGATTCCCTTTGGATGTCAGCCACTGTTTCAGAACATCTTCCCTTCAGTTTCATTTTCAATTTGGGAAATAAAGCAAAATCACAGTGGGTTAAGTCTGGCAATTAGGGAGGATGAGGAATGATAACCATGTTGTTGTTAGTCAGAAACTCTCTGGTTTTTAGTGATGTGTGGACAGGCACATTGTCGTGATGAAGGAGGCAGTTGTGGTTGCACCAAAGTTTCGGTCTTTCTCATAGCACATTTTTTCTAAGCATCTCAAAATGACATAGCAAAGTAGAGTCCACTGCAGTGTTAGGAGGAAAAAATTCAAGGTGAAAAATCCCCTTCATGAAGAAAAAGAGAGTATGCCCTTTGTTGAACTCCGGACCTGCAGCGCTTTCTTTTTGCTCTTGGTGATTGTGTGCTCTCCCACTGCGATGATTGTTACTTTGTTTCTGGACCATGATCATAAATCCAACTTTCGTTACCTGTTACGATCCTAGAGATAAAAGTTGGGTCCTTGTTAGCCTTCTCGCGTAGCTCAAGACACATGTTTACACGCCACTGCTTTTGGTCATTTGTCAAGAGTCAGGGAACAAACTTTGTGGAAATGTGGTGCATCTTCAAATTTTCTGTTAAGATCTCCTGGCAAACTCCATTAACTGAGCCCAGTGGTGACTGCGAGCTCATGGACAGTTTTAGTGGATGAGTTCTCAAACATTTCAACATTTTCTGTTGTTTTGCTGGTGCTTGGTCACCCTGAACGTTTGTCATCTCAACTGACACTTGACCAGACTTGAAACGTGAATGCCATTCAAAAACCACTGTCCAGCTTAACCTTTAACATATGAATATTTAAACTGCCGGCAACCCTCTGTGGCTGGAAGTTAAATGGCCCTAAATCTTTAACATTACAGACTTTCAGAAAAAAACACAATTTTCCATTCTATGCAACATAGAAGTACACAATAAAAACATCCCGAAAGACAATAAAATGTTGTACAAATACACAAAATAGCAATTTTTACAAATGATAATTAACTGTGATTATTTTGTCATGAGATGGAAAATATAATCTTTATTATATATGTTATGAAATTCCAAACAACTTACACATAGTTTTCTCTTCAACCTTGAGACATGGTGATTTTGTAAATACAATCACAATATATACAATAATATTTTGTCGCACTGTATGCGAGTTTGAACTGCGTCAATTCACAGTTTATGATACCTCACACTGTGACGCGCATGTGCCACTTCTCGAAGCAGTCCACAACACACAGTGCAACATCATACTTTTTACAATAGAAAGGGATGCTCCTGCTTTTCTTATTTAGCTAACACACACACAACGTCTTTGTTTCCTTTTGATTGGTCAGTGTTGTGAAATTTTCACCTCCAGTTGACTCAGTTGGGACACAGATGACATTGGCCTCCCCCCAGAAACACCTCTGGCAATGATATTCGCCTCGTGCGATTGAAGAATCATCTTGGGGAGGGGGGCTTCCAGCTAAATCAAATAAATTATTGTAATGTGTCTGGAATCCAGAAGAGACGCTTCTATGGAAACACTAGAATAGACCGTTGCATAGGAAGTAACAATAGCGGCACTGTAATCCCAACAGTGAGCCGTTGTGTAGAGAACACCGAATCTCCACGGTTACGACGAATACGAGAAGCGTTCCCACAGAGACAACGCAATAACAATGGGTCATTGCGTAGGAAACACGGAACCAACAAAGCAACGTTTCCACTGCTATAACAGAGGATTCATTTGCCTAGCAGCGGCCGAGGTTATAAATAGCCCAGCTTCGACGAGAAGCAGTCAGTCTTGGGATAGCAGCCGTCTAAGAAGTTAGCCTTTATCCAGCCTTCGAAGTAGAGTGTCGTGGGACATCTGCCGCAGAAGACAGTTGAGGTGTCACAGTGAATAGTAGTTGTACTCGTGATTGTGTAAGCGTGAAGAACAATAAAGGTTCTACTTAATTTGAGACCTATGTGAATTTATTTGTAGCGTGACACACAAAACACGCCACATTATGTTGACCGAAAAAGCGACACTCTCACCGGTTAGTACTTACATACTTACTCATGGAGCTGATCCCTTCTTGAGAAGCAGCCAATTTTGCAGCTATTCAAGAAGGGCTCAGCATTTTATGGAAAACAAAGGTTTATTACCATGCTCATAAAAGCTCTCCAGCAGTCCCTATCCTGAGCCAGATCAATCCAATCCATACCATTCCATCCTATCCCTCTAAGATCCATTTTAATACTGTTCACCCACCTACAACTTGGTCTTCCCAGTGGTCTTGTTCCTTCTGGCTTTCCAACCAATATCCTATATGCATTCGTCGCCCACATTCATGCTACAAGCCGTGCCCACCTCATCCTCCTTGACTTGATCATTTTAATTATACTTGGAGAAGAGTACAAGTTATGAAGCTCCTAATTTTGCAGTTTTCTCCAACCGCCAGTCACTTCATCTCCCTTCGGTCCAAATATTCTCCTCAACACCCTCTTCTCAAACACCCTCAGTCTATGTTCCTCCCTTAATGTCAGAGACCAAGTTTCACACCCATACAGAAGCACAGGTAAAATTATAGTTTTGTATATTCTAATTATTGTTTTTGGACAGCAGATGAGAAGACAAAAGGCTCTGGACTGAATGGCAGCAAGCATTACCTGAGTTCAATCTCCTCTTAATATCCTCCTGAATCAGGTTTCAATCTGTTATTACTGTTCCCAAATATCTGAACTGTGCCACATATTCAAAACATGTTTCCTATCTTTATCTCATGATTCTGCCCTGCATTTTGGTGACGAGACAGCAACATATACTTAGTTTTCTCTGTGTTTACTTCTAGACCAACCTCCTTACTGGCGTCAATTAAAGTTTGTGTGTTTTTCTTTATGGTATCTATATTATCATACAGTAGATTCACATTATCGGCATAGACCAATAGCTGAATTGTCCCATTTAATTTCAGTGGTTTCCCTGGACCTTCCTAATTGTATATTCTAAGGCAAAGTTGAAAAGGAGTGGCGATAAAGCATCTCCTTGTTTTAGATCATTCTGGATAGGAAATCTATCAGACAAATGTTTACCTGTACGGCCTTTACTATAAGTTTCATATAAACACATTTTAATCAGCCTAACTAGTTTCATGGGTACCCCAAACTCTGTCAGAATATTGTACAATACTTCCCTCTGAACTGAATCATAGGCTTTCCTGAAGTTTACGAATAGCTGATATACTGTATCACTGTACTCCCACTTTTTCTCCAATATCTGACAAATGCAAAAGATCTGATCTGTAGTTGATCTGTTACATCGAAACCCACACTGATGATCCCCAATAATTTCATCTATATATGGACTTAACCTTGACAGAAGAATATTGGATTAAATTTTGTATGGAGTTGATAACAGTGATATCCCCCGATAATTACTACAGCCAGTTTTATCACCCTTCTTGTGAACTGGTACAATAATAGACTCCTTCCACTGATCAGGCAATGTTTCCTTGTGCCAAATAGAAGTAATTAGATTGTGGATCTTTACATAATATTTCGCCACCTGCTTGAATAAGTTCTGCGGGAATTTGATCACTATCTGGTGATTTATACTGTTTTAATTTTGCAACAGCACTTTCAAACCTCAAAAGGGTTAGGATCAGGTACTAACGGCTCTGCTGTAGGGATTTCTGTCTGCCTAACCTCACTGATCCTATGTACATTCAATAACTGAGAGAAGCAGTTCCTCCTACTATTCAAAATGTTGTGGGAATCTGCACACAGATTACCATTCTCATCCTTCACTATGTTACTGCTAGGTTGGTAACCCCTCTTAAAGTCATTCATTCCTCTATACAGGTCTCTAATGTTCTTGTTCATACTGTTCCTCACCTGTTAGTAATACTCGCAAAATAGTGATGCAAATTAATAATAATACTAGTCGAAAAGAGTGCCAGTCCGACACTGATACCGAAAGTCACACTGACGATGATGCTTTTTACTCACAAAGTAATACTGCCTCAGTGGTTTTATACCTCTTCCAAGATACAAAATAAAAATGATATATATGACAGTCTGACACTGATTTTCTAACTGATAAAGAAATATATGACAATCCGACACTGATTTCCTAACTTATAATTCGCTACTGAAAACCAATCCTTGAATACATCACACTTCCTTGAAAGCTCTTGACGCACTCATCTGCGCGCACAGATGAATATTTACTCCTCAGTTCTCAAAACAAGGCTGGGCTCTATTTGGCTGACCAGGTCATAAACAGTCATATCTAAATGTAAATAGGATCGAAACTAGTACCGTGATAAACGATTTCATTACGCAGAGCTAATGAATGAACCACTGACATGACCCTGTGTGGGTTTGTTTTAGTTTCAAACTGAAGATCATCCTCCAAGAGAGCAGCGATCTTTCGGTTGTAGTCAGACGTATCCAGTACCATGGCCACATTACCCTTGTCAGCCAGAAGGACGGTGAGTGCCTCATTGGCTTTTAAGGACCGAAGGGCTCTTCTCTCAGCACCAGTGAGTTGTCTTTGGGTTTGCGGAAGTTCTTCAAAATCCTGACCGTCTCCTGTCAGATCTCCTCTGCAGTCTCTACAGGCAGGGCCACTATTGCCTTCTCTACCCCGCACAGGATATCCTTAATGGGAACAGACTCCAGAGCCACAGCAAAGTTGAGGCCCTTGCTCAGGGCTGAGAAAGACACTTCTTCCAATGGCACATCACTCAGACTGACCACAGTCAAGGACACAAGGACAACCTGACTGGTGCCAAGAGAAGAGCCCTTCGGTCCTTAGAAGTCAATGAGGCGCTCACCGTCCTTCCAGCTGACAAGGGTAATGCGGCCATGGTACTGGATACGTCTGACTACAATTGAAAGATTGCCGCTCTCTTGGAGGATAAGGCCTACAAGAAGTTGAAGAAGGATCCTACCAATACCACAGAGCGCAAGACTGTTCTTCTCCTGAAAAAGTCCCCGATTGCTGAGGTCTGCCAACAGCTATGACCTCAAGGTTCCAGGCCACCTAGACTCTACGGGTTGCCGAAGCTCCACAAGCCTGACGTTCCACTAAGGGCAATTGTGAGCACCATTGGCTCTCCTACCTATCGCCTGGCCGGCCTACTGAGCACATATACTGGCAATGGTCCACACCACATAAGTAACTCCATGGAATTTGTCCACACATTGTGCTCTCTCCATGTCGATCCCCACAACATAATGGTCAGTTTCGATGTAGTGTCACTCTTCACCAGGGTGCCTATAAAGGATACAATGGACCTGCTAGGACGACATCTTGAGACTCTTCCGCCATGTCCTGACCACCTCATACTTCAACTTCAATGGCCAGTTCTATGAACAAACCGATGGTGTGGTAATGGGCTGGTCACTTTCTCCGGTCATCTAACCTATATATGGAGGACTTCGAGGAGAGGGCACTTGACTTTGCCCCACACAAGCCCGCTGGTGGTTTCACTACATGGACGGCACCTCTGTCATCTGGCCACATGGGGCCGACAAGCTCAAGGACTTCTTCAAACAGTATCCACCACTGCATTCAGTTCATGATGGAGACTGAAACTGAGGGCCACCTCCCCTTCCTGGATATAGATATTTACAGGAGACCTGATGGTGCTCTGGGCCATAATGTACCACAAATCCACCCATACAAACCTCTACGTTAACGCTGCATCCCACCACCACCCTTCCAACAAGCAAGCTGCACTTTCCACACTGGTGCATGGGGCTAGAGCTCTTTGTGATCAAGACAGCCTACATGCAGAGTGGGTGCTCCTGGGGGATGTATTCAGGAAGAATGGGATACAACAACTGGCAGATCCACACAGTTCTCTACCATCAGGCCAACATCAGCCGGCCTGAAGATAAACGGGGCTCAGTCGCCTTCTTTGCATATGTCAGGACTACATTCAACCGAATCAGCAGAGTGCTGTCCCAGCACAACATCAAATCAGTGGGTCTGTCTCCAAACAAATTATCCAGTTTCCTCCGGCCAGTCAAAGATAGCCTGAGACTAAGGACACCGGGTGTATACAGTATCCCATGCGAGTGCAGCAAGGTCTGTATTTGGCAGATGGGCTGCTTCGTGAACATGAGGCTGAAGGAGCATCAGCGGCACACCCGTCTCAAACATCCGGACAAGTCAGCTGTAGCTGAACACAGCATCGATTTGGGACACAGCATTCAGCTTCAGAATACCTCCATCCTCACCATGAAGACCCAATATATGGATCGAATCATTAGGGAAGCCATTGAGATTGAACTCCATCCAGCAAATATGAACAGAGAGCGGGGGTTTTGTCTCAGCAAGTCATCTCTCATCTGTTCCCTAAAAACCCCCCGGGACATGACGCCAGATCCACAAGGCTACACAGGCCATGACTGACTAACACAGCAAACCCTCAACCCCACCCCACCCCCCACCTTAAGGGTTAGTGCACTCCCTTTAACCTTGCCTTTCTCTCCCCTGACACAATATCACATATAAAACCCTGCTTCTGTCCCAACCCCTTCACCCCTCCCACTCCACTGATTTCCCATAGACTTGTCCCCCCTCCTTCACTGCTCTCACATAGCTGTGTTTATTTCCAACACCTGTCTGCTTGTACCAGTTCTCACGGTCTCTTCGCTTGCGGATTCTCTTATTTTTCCTTCTACCCTGAAGATGGAGGCGACATGTTCCTCCGAAACGTCGGTTAACACCACATTTACATGGTGCCACATCCCAGAAGACTGCTTTCTTCATGGTCACTGCTGTGAAAACCTCAAATCTTAAAGGTAATATTATATTTTAGCATCCCACTGCATTGAAGCATTATCCTTATTATTAAAGCATCTGTCAATAATGCAACAATATAAATGACATCTAGAATATTTTTCTCACTAAAAATGTAACTTAATACTTTATGATGTTAAAATCATTAAAATGTCACTAGGACACTAGAAGTATGACTTATACATCAAAGCGATTATCAAATTACTAAAATGTCTCTAGTTTTACATTTCTTTTTTCAGTTCTTCAGCTTATTATTTTACCCTGAAGATGGCTGCACCACATTCCTCTAAAACAGTGGTAAACACCTATCAGATTACAACTTGTAACATGGCATAAGATGATAATCCTCATAGTGGCTACCACGAGAAACTCAAATATCACAAGTAAAACCAGGTACGTTACAATTCCTACAATACAAATAGACTCGTCAGTTTAACCTCAGTAGTATGCAAGCAAATGGAACACGTTACAGCATCGTACCTGAGGAAAATATGGGATAAAAATGATTGGTTATTTGAGGGTCAGCATGGCTTCAGGCTGGGATATTCATGTGAAAGTCAAGTAATCATGGTCTACCAAGACATTGCACACTCACTGGATAACAGAAGTAGAATAGACACAATTGTAATAGATTTTTCGAAGGCCTTCGATTTAGTTTGTCATGATCGTCTGCTTACGAAAATTGCGGCCTCAGGAGTGGACTCAAGAGTAGTTATATGGATAAGGGAATTCCTTTTGGGCCGCACGCAGAGAGTCAGAGTAGGAGGGCAACTATCGGAGGAAGTCAGAACAACGTCAGGGGTACCGCAAGGAAGTGTGCTGGGCCCACTACTGTTCCTCGCCTACGTTAATGATATTTGGAGAAATATTGAGTCAACTATTAGGCTATTCGCGGATGACTGTATAATATATAGGAAAATTAAAAATAATAATGATAAGGAAAAGTTGCAGATAGATCTGAACAGACTTGGGAAATGGGCGGTTGAAAATGAGATGAAAATTAATCCAACTAAAAGTAAGGCAGTTTGTTTCA